TTCCTTGTTCTGTTCAATGTTATTTATTGTCCACAAGATACATGTACCGGCTTATGTTTTATGTTCCTTGTTCTGTTCAAGGTTATCAATTGTTCACATGATACATGTACCGGCTTATGTTTTATGTTCCTTGTTCTGCTCAATGTTATTTATTGTCCACAGGATACATGTACCAGCTTCTGTTTTATGTTCCTTGTTCTGTTCAAGGTTATAAATTGTTCACAGGATACGTGTACCAGCTTATGTTTTATGTTCCGTGATCTATTCAAAGTTATTTATTGTCCACAGGACACATGTACCAGCTTATGTTTTATGTTCCTTTATTCGTTCAAGATTATCAATTGTCCATAAGATACATATACCAACTTATGTTTTATTATCCTTGTTCTGTTCAAGATTATTAATTGTCCACAGGATACATGTACTAACTTATGTTTTATGTTCCTTGTTCTGTACAAGGTTATCAATTGTCCACAGGATACATACACCAACTTATGTTTTATGTTCCTTGTTCAGTTCAAGATTATTAATTGTTAATAGGATACAAGTATCAACTTACGTTTTATGTTCCTGGTTCTGTTGATGGTTATAAATTGTCCACAGGATACATATAAAAAATTATGTTTTATGTTCCTTGCTCTGTTCAAGGTTATTAATTGTTTGGAAGATACATGTACATGCTTATGTTATGTTTTATGTTCCTTGTTCTGTTCAAGGTTATTAATTGTTCACAGGATACATGTATAAACTTATGTTTTGTGTTCCTTGTTTTGTTCAAGGTTATTAATTGTCAACAGGATACATATACCAATTTATGTTTTATGTTCCTTGTTCAGTTCAAGGTTATAAATTGTCAACAGGATACATGTAGCAACTTATGTTTTATGTTCCTTGTTCTGTACAAGGTTATTAATTGTCCACAGGTTACAAGTACCAACTTATGTTTTATGCTCCTTGTTCTGTACAAGGTTATTAATTGTCCACAGGTTACAAGTACCAACTTATGTATTATGTTCCTTGTTCTTTTCAAGGTTATTAATTGTCCACAGGATACACATATTAGCATAATTAGAGTAATAGTCACTTGAATGTTTGCCAATGCTCACTTCTGTGATTGTTTTATTCACCATACGACAATTTGTCCGAAGGTTATATGTACGATTGTCAAGGATGGTTGTAAAACAAAATATATAGTCTATTAATACAGTACACATTTGTCGGTAAGGAATTGAATATTGTTTCCGTCCAAATTGTGTTACAGAGCACCCGCGAAAATGTTTAACTCCGCCACACTCTGTATGTGCCTGTCCCAAGAAAAAAAATCTTATTTATTGATTGTCGTTAATGGTCTTTATTATCTATTTTTTTTCCAATTATTTTTTAAGCATGAATCAGGCCGTTGATTTAATAATTCGATCTGTTTAACATATTGCCATGTCGGGGCCTTTTATCTTGTTTATAGCTGAATTTACGATATTGTATGCTCATGGTTGAAGGCCGTTTATACCTATAGTTGCTTACCTCCAAGTAAGTCATTGGTTTATAGTGGATAGTTGTCTTATTCACAGTCACACCTCGTCGCTTTTAATTTATAATTATTATCGTTATCGGCAACAAGACGGGGACCACTGGTGGAGCAGGGAAGCTTCAACCTCCTTGCAGAGCACACGGGCTCACACCATACCTTTGTTTTATTTGTTGATTGTTTACACTTTGTCAATGTTAAGTTAAATTTAATTAGAAGTATACATATGGCTTAGGCCTTGTATACCAGTTTAAAGTTTTGAAGTATGTATAAAGAAGAATCCATTGTCCATCCAGCAAAAAAAAATCACGCATTGCATAAAAAACATAAGACGGACGGCGAACTATCGACAGCTATATTCTATGGCGCTAGACATATTGCAGGATCTGCGCAGTTGACAGCTCTTAGCTTTAACTTTGACTCAAATCCCGCTGAGGGAAAAATATAAAATGCAGCGCCAACATTTTTTTTAATGAATTTGAGATGTCAGGTATTAAAATTGTCTTTATATTTGTTTTTGTCATGTTAGGAATTTTGTATTGACTGTAGATCTTCTGTAGTCTCTGATAAATTAATCACTGCTTGTTTAAGACTCCATACTATTTAGGGTTTAATATACTGTATTAGACCCATGTCTTGCTGAGGACTGTTTGTTAATCTCTTGATGTCCTGTTCTTTTTATTCATTTATACAAGATCATTACCAAATTTATAATATGATACGTTTAATGAAAACAAATATATTCCTTCTTTGTAAAGGTCATCAATAGCGTGCGAAAGCTGTCGTATTTATTTTGAAATACGCAGTTTATTATTAATTATAAAAGTATGTTTTAAGTATTAAAACCATTCTGAAATCCGACGATTTTAGCTGAAGCAATCAAACGGTAAGAGTTCAACAATATAATTGTTTTAACACGTCCATGTATTTATCGAACAAATAAAGTGTTATTAGAGATATTTTATAACATAAAAATAAACATGAGCAATACCTCAAAATTAATTTCTTTTAATGACAGTGGAAACTTCTGTGAAATATATTGAATTTGAATATATGATATGAAAGGGAGATATCATTGCTTTAACTATAGTTGAGTGCTGATTTAAACGTTTAGGATAATTTTTTCAAAATGTTTTTAATTAAGTATAGAGACATTTTCAAATCAGTAAAAGTTTTCTTTTCAAGTGTACCTGATAATTTGGTATTTGATATATCCAGCTCTCTAATTAAATACAAAGTCATTCATTAGAATCGGATGTTAAAAACTGTACCTCAGTGGTGTTAATAACCTTCCCCTAATAATGAGTGGAGTCCATTCACTAGTTGATCTAATTCAGACTGCATTTTCATTTTAAATTTGTTTTGCCCTTTGGTGTTCTTCAAGTTCAAAGCTTCTGGCACTTGGTAATTTATTAAAATATTTTAAGGCAAAAAACGTGTTCAAATACATTTACGCGGATTTAAGTAATCAGTTTTGCATATGAATTTGCTGTATTAAAGTGTGATCTCTTTGAATAATAACATAAACCAATAAAGGAGTATATCATTCTATAGTATGGCAATTTCATATCAACAGATGAAGTATTTTGAGCTAGGTTTCAAAACGGCGAGCATTATTTGGTGTGGTATTACATTGTTTTGTTTTTGTTTTATTTTGTTCTTGTGGTTTTGTAATCAATTACAACGTTATTTCAGAGTTAACGGCTTTTTTTCCCTAAACTTTTAAGACTTTTATTGTATGTTCTGTATGTACTTTTTGTTAGTCCACTGACTAATAATTGAACTTGTAGCGAGTGATTTGAGATTTTAACCTCGCAACATATTCATCCCCGAGACAAGAAGCTCGTTTGTGAGACATGATATCTTAATGTATTTGTTATTTAGAGAAAATCACAATCCCGAATGTGACCTACCGAATTAGAATTATCACCGGATTTGTACTTACATGAGCAACACGACAGGTGCAGCACGTGGAACACGATGTGCTTACCCTTCCAGAACACTTGAGATCACTCCTGTTTTTTTTGGTTGGATTCGTGTTGCTCAGTCTTTAGTTTTCTATGCTGTGTTTTGTGCACTGTTGTTTGTCTTTTGGTCTTTTTCGTTTTATGCCATGGCGTTGTCGTTTTTTTTTTCGACTTACGAGTTTGAATGTCCCTCTGGTATATTTTGCCTGTCTTTAACTTATATTTTGTTGGTTTCATTTTGTTCTTGTGGTTTGTTATCAATAATACCGTTATTTCAGAGTTAGTGGCTTTTCTAAAAAAAATTATGACTTTTATTGTATGTTCATTATTGTTATTCCCGACTAGTGATTTAATTTATATGGATTGATTTGAGATTTTCACCTCGCAACATATTCATCCCCAACACAAGAAACTCATTTGTGTGTCATGATATCGTAAAGGTTTTGTTATTAAGAGAAATTGGTGGTGAGGGGAGATCTTAGATAGGCCCTTTTTAAATTATTCACAACATATATAAAGTTGGAAAATTAAGATCTAGAGCTTTACATGTTGTATAAATACCTGACTGTAGATTGTTATCTGATGTCTTTTTGGTTATTCATATATCCCACATCTTCTTAGATTTATATTACTTCTTCACTTTGAAAAATGGGATGTTTTTTAATTGATAAATTGATTGAAATTCTTAAGAAACTAACTCCCTCAGGCAAACATGACCTTAGAAGAATTTTGCTATTCTTTTTCGGTCCCTTTTGGTCATACAGCTGTTGACGTTTCTACGTACATACATGATATACATCCCTGGCTTTCAAAGGTTTAGGATTGAGCGATCCTGATGAAGGTAAATCCAAAAAAAACAGTTCGGAGCACGAAATTTATAGTCTTATTTTCATTTTTTTAATCTGTTCTGATATATTTAAATACAATATAATAAATACATTGATAGTATAGCAGGGAAACAAAGCGAGTTATTCGGCGTTCCCACATCAATGTACAATTTGACCTTTATCGATGAAACTTTATAATATGCTTATAACGTAGACAACTTGTCTTCCATAATGAACTCCACAGGGGTTTACGAGTATAAATATAATTATATAGATATAAGAAGATGTGGTATGAGTGCCAATGAGACAACTCTCCATCCAAGTCAAAATTTATAAAAGTAAACCATTATAGGTCACAGTACGGTCTTCAACACGGAGCCTTGGCTCACACCGAACAGTAAGCTATAAAGGGCCCCAAAAAATTACTAGTGTAAAACCATTCAAACGGGAAAACCAACGGTCTAATCTATATAAAAAACGAGAAACGAGAAACACTTATGAACCACATCAACAAACGACAACTACTGAACACCAGATTCCTGACTTAGGACAGGTGCAAACAAATGCAGCGGGTTTAAACGTTTTAATGGTACCAAACCTTCACCCTTTTTCTGAAACAATAGTGTAACATGCATATACTTACTTAAATGAAAATATTGATTCTGTAAATTTTGTAGTTTGTTTTAAATCATGTTCGTAGTCCAGAGTATTTTGCTGGTAGTGATCATTAAAGCTGTGTGTAGTCTAACCTGTCTTTCTAATGAAGCGAAGGAAGACTTTGAAAAATCGAGAAAAGCAGTGTCTGATGTACAGGATAATATTGGCAAAGTCATAAATCAACTTAACACTATGAGCCAAAAGATAAAGAAACTTGACACTGATTTTAAAGCTCTTGGAAAAGATTTACGTAGTAAGTGCATACTAGAAATCCTTAAAAAATGTTGTCGCAAAGTTGAAGTTAAAAACAGGGGCGGACAATTCCAAAAGGAGAGTGAAAACTCAAGTCGAATAAGAAACCGACAAACTCGTTGCAAATATAACCCCGAAAACCACGAAAAGACCAATTAAAGTCCACAAAACACTTCATTCAAAACCCAAAGAGTCAGTAACACGAACAAAACCAAAAACTGGAAAACTCTCATGTGATCTGGAAGGGTAAACAGATCCTCTGCCACATGCGATACTTGTCGTATTGCTCATTGTAAGTACAAATGCTGTGATGCGATAATAGATATTTTAAACATTAATGGAGGGAGAACCGTGTCCTGATAAAATGAAAAATAAACAGCGGAATTGCACGGGTGTGAAGCGCTATAAGACATTTGTTTTCATTTCTTTAAAATATACACGTACACACAAAACATAAACAATCCGTAATGATCATATCCGGACTAAGACTAAAATATATAATTGTGCTCAACCGTACTTACTGTAACCTACAGCGTACTCTTTGAGAAGTTCGTACGCTTGGAGAAAATATTTAATGGATTAATTTTCAATTTGTAATAGATGAAAAGATGAAAAGACTTTTTTTTATAGAACGTTCTACATTCCCTTTCTATCCACATCCCTCGAGTAAGCATACTTGACCTTACAAAGTCCTCGAAAAAATCTATTTGTAAAAAGACAAAATACAGTTTACGCAGATTTGTTCCCCATTTATTTTTTATATGGCATCATTAAATCAGATAAAAGAATTTTCGCTTGCTTTCTGTAATGAAACAATGAAGACAGATGCTCATATAAACCCTTCGTGTTTATAAATAGACTGAAGTACTATTATGAACCAAATGTTACAATACAACTAAACCTTGGTTACTGTAGATATAAAAATAAGAAGATGTGTTTTGATTGCAAATGAGACAAATCTCCAACAGAGACCGAATGATATAGAAGTTAACACCTATATGTCACCGTAAACAATGAGCAAAACCCATACCGCATAGTCAGCTATTATAAAAGGCCCCGAAATGACAAATGTAAACAATTCAAACGAGAAAACTAACGGCCTAATTTATGTACAAAGTAATGAACAAAAGTTACACAGCAACAAACGACAACCACTGAATTACAGTCTCCAGGCACATACAGAATTTGGTGGGGTTAAATAACATAAACGGTACCAATTTTTCTGCGCCAGATGCGCATTTCGACAATCAATGTCTCTTCAGTGATGCTCGAAGCCAAAACATTTGAAAATCCAAAGCTTATTAAAAAGATGAAGAGCTATAAACCAAAAAAGACAAAAAAGTAAGCCAATGCCGGGCAAGGAATCAGAGCTTTGCATGAGGGAGATAATTCCTTAATAAAAATAATTTCCAAACTTTTGCTCGTTTTAAGTAGGCAATCCTCCCCTAACCTGGGACAGTGGTGTAACAGTTCAACATAAGAACAAACTATAAAAATCAGACGAAAAAGGCTTAAGTCATCAGATGGATACAAATAGAAATACATCTATGTAGGTCTGCTTCATATTTTGACTTACAGCAAACAGTAGACAGCAACGGTCGTTTGAAAAGTAAACATTAAAGCAAAAGAGAATAGTTAAAATTTCCCTCTTTGTTAATTTTGTTTTTGTAGGATGCAACATTCCAGTAACAATTAAACACTTGTTTATGCCATATATATATCACCAGTAAGCCATTGAACCGATAGTTCTTAATGATAAAGAAGATAGCATTTCTGAGAATGAGACGTTACGTGGATGACTCTTGATCATGGTGTTGTCCGTGTTTCATCGACTTATAATTTCTATCCCCCCGTATCGTACGTGTTTCCTCATTAATTTGTTGTTGAAGCAATGTAATGCATGGAAATTCAACCGAACTGCGGATGGTAATAGAGGACGAAGTCTTCATTACATTAAAAGAAAAATCAACATGAAAATAAATAAACAAGTGAATACAAAATCGTTTGCTTTCTGTTTTACGTCTTTCACGAATGTGCTGTAATACTTTCCAGATTCTATGGTGGGGACAGCCATCTTAATGCTCTATCAACAGAGCGTTTTCTATATAAAAGGAAGGTAATGTTGAGAATATTGTCAATACTACAAGGAAAATAAAGTTGTATAATTTTACAAACTTCGTCAATCACTTTAAATGAACCAGGTATGACTTTGTATTTATTTCAGAAACAAAATGGCACAAATATAACGGTCACTGTTACTATTACGGTTCCGACTCGACAGACTGGTTTACGGCTGAAGTGAGTAAAAACAGTACCAATAATTTGTTATTTTTCTTCCGACAGACAGCAATTAAACATAGTACTCTGTAGGGGCATTTTACTTTCCGGGTTGAATTTTCGTCTATTTATCTACAAAGGAAATGAGAAATTAAGTCGACAATAGTTAACCGATAGTCAAAACTCGTAAAACGATTAAGAAGAGACAAATCAAGGTTAAAATTAAAACTGAGGGAATCGCATGAACCCCAAAAGGAGCGAGAACGGGTGCGTCTACAGGGTAAGTCTCTTCTGCCACGCATGCATCACCCGCTATTCGAATTCATACTCAGTCAAAATGTCCCAATCTGGACACCATCGGTAAAATTAAGCATCAGACGACTACAAATGTTAATAACGTTTGATTTTGTCAGTTTTTATGAATTTTTCCCTTTTTGAATTAACCTTGGGTTAGGTATTTTTTTTAGTTCTTTTACACAGCAGGTATCTAAAGATCTAAGACCGCGAAATCATGTCACTAGTGCGTTGAGACAGTTTACCCTAGTATGTTTAAATAACAGAGGATATATATAAAGTTTAATGAACGTACTTGGTTTAATTTCTAATTTACCTATTGAATAACTTAAATGTATTCCCGAACAGAGAAAATGTAGAGAAATTAGTGGTTATATTGCCAAAATTGATGACAGAGAAGAAAACACCAACATTGCAGCAAACAGACCACATAGTGGTGAGTATTCTTTCTTCAGATGCTATAGTTAGAAAGCTCTTAAATCAAGTTATTGTACCATCGTACTTGTATTGTAGTAGTTGGTTTTCTCATGGAGCTACTTCTTTAAATACAAATATACTAGTATGTAAATTGTCCGATAGTATGAAACAGGAGGAAATGAAGAAATGTGGAGTTTTCTCCTGGTTCGTAACGAGTAAATTAATCAAGTGAATGAGTCTACAGATACATTTCTTATTTCTGAATTTACAAAATAATAAATAAATTGCAAAATTTATGCTTTAACTATAATAAACAAAAAAATAAAAAAAATACAAAGATAAGTATTAAATATCTTTTCAATCCACCATTTTCTACATAAGAAAGTACCAAGTCAGGAATATGACAGTTGTTGTCCATTCGTTTGATGTGTTTGTGCTTTGATTTTGTCATTTGATTAGGGACTTTCCGTTTTGAATTTTCCTCGGAGTTCAGTATTTTTGTGATTTAACTTTTTTTCATCACTGATGCTCACGAATATGTTCTATTTATCGAAACAATAATTCCGTCCGTCCTCCTTGCCTCGTTAACGATTCATTTCCGAATGCAACTGACCATCGGATTTAACAAAGTCAGGAAACACACGACAGGTGCCCCTGATAGAACAGGAACACATTGCCCCTTTGCAGCAGCTGAGTTCTGATTCAGTTTTTATTTCGGTTTGTAATGCTAAATTCTTAATGGGTATCGTTTATATTTATTTTCGTCTGGTTTTTTTTCAAACCTCCGAATGTATACTCTGTTCTTTTACAAGGCTTAAACAGCGAACCTCGTGGAGATGACCAAGGATGACTATTGACTTGAGGAGAATTTGATAGAAAAATAATATTGATGAAAAAATCTTGAATTATAGGGGGATAAAAGCTTGCGTGAACAAACATTCAAATAACTTCACAAAAGACAAAAACAACAACAAAAATGGATTCATATGGATATACAAGAAATGTATTTCTAAAATATTGTGCTTGTTTTGCCGATAATAAAATGGAAATCGGAACATTTACAGAGTATGTGATTTGAGCTTTTCGGACTCTTGAAGTAGACAAAAATTAATCGGTATACTTGCTTTTCTAAAAATGATGTTAATCAAATATTATATACAAACTACTTTTTTCAGTTACACAAAATTTAACATTACATCGGTTCCAGTAAAGGATAAATCATCTTGTTTTAACTTCGAATTTCTGTTTAGCAAAATTAGGATAATCCCAAAATGCACTTTTTGTAATGAACAATCTGAAACAATAGTTAATTAACATTGGAAATGTAAAACAGTGCAAATGCTACTTTAAAATATTGACAAATGTACATGTGGTCTGGCAGGTTTTGAAGTAAACTATAATATGAATACTTTCATTTTTAAAATTTATGATATTAAGCATGCACAGGTACAGAACATGGTGCATTAATTAAATAACATAATGACTTAATGAATAATTTAACATACAAAAATGAACAACTACCCTTTGCTTTCATGAAGTACTGCAATGACTATAATTGCAACGTGATTAGAGCGTAATACTTAAACAATATTTGGAGAGAGAACCACATGTTAACCCGTCATCTTCTTTGCATTTATTTATGTCCGCTATCTAAAATAACTTAGTACAACAAGAGCTCTGTCTTTTAACAAACCAAATATACAGCATCTTATTTTGAAGGTAAGGATTACTGGATTGGCCTGACAGATCTCAAAGAAGGGATTTGGCGCTGGACCTATGATCAGTCGAAAGCTGTTTTTAAAACTTGGCAATCTGGTTATGGTGCTAAGGGCATAAAGAGTAATTGTGTGATGATAAATGGTATTAAAACAGTCTGGGTTGATTATGACTGTCATTACAGAGCTTTTTACATTTGTGAAAGCAATTTCTGTAAGTAATAACTCAATTGATTTTTGTGTACTCCATTTGTCATCAATGATTAGTTATGAACCATTCATTTTGTTTCGTATACACCTTATTCGTCTTCATGGGAGGAAAAACTTAAAATATATATTTAACAAATTAATAATTCCTTTAATGTGTCCTTTCATACTTTAATAATCAGAAAATCAAACACTTCAGGTTACGTTCACTTCAAGGTCTCATTTTGATTGGTTACTTTATTGTCTTGCAAACCTGGTAAATACAGCTGTTATGTTAAAATCTGTTGTAATATGGACATATTTGTTATAGTTTCCCTTGCCAATGTTGGTTTTATGTTATTTCCGGGTTATTGTTTTTCAAGGTTTTGATACTTCCAACTTTCCAACAATAATCCCTGTGCCAAAAAGGTGGTGATCGGCATAGGATTTAGCCTCCGGGTGCGGGATTTTCTAGCTGTTGAAGACACATTGGTGGCTGTTTTTTGTTCTTTGGTCGGGTTGTTGTCTCTTTGACACATTCCCCATTTCCATTCTCAATTTTAAAGTAACAATTGTCAGCTTTATAATATAGATAGTACATGGCTATATATTGCCTCATTTAAATAGAAACTTTCAAAGTATGCCAGAGATTATTTTCATAATATATGAATATTTTTTCGCATACATGTTCGCTTATTTTTCGTTGTTGTTTCCATTTTCAGGTTTTTAAATAATCCATAAAAGACGACCACTATAGAAGAAAAGAGAAGATAAGATGACATTGAAAAACTTTGTTGTAACTGTTGAATAAAATCAAACAAATTATTTAGAAAACCTTATTTATCTCTGCAGCTTTAATAAGAATATGGAAAATATGTAACTAACAATATCAATCACAATCTGCACTGTTTATGGAATACTTGTATGGTATTTTCTCGGATGTACACCCATTGGTAAGACAATATTATAAATATATTTATTAGAGGTATTGGTCACATGACGTAGTAACGGTCAAGTGATTGTTCACTATAAACACGTGTGTGTGTTTACATCAAGCACATGGTGTGTGTTTATGTTCTATTTGATTGGATGGCATATACCCGCAATGCGGTTTTACGGGTATATGCGCTCATGAGATTCGTGAAAAGCATGATTAAGTATTACTTAAGGGGTTCGTTTGAGAAAATAAAGTTATTCGAAGTTTGCCTATAGTTAACGTAGCAGCAGTTCGTTATTATGTTTACCCACCCACCCACCCCTTTTATGAGTTGGTTATTGTTAATGTGGGCATATACAAATATTACACTATATTAATATGAATTTTTCCTCTTTTGTAGATAGTTTTTGATTGTGTTACTGTATATTCTATTATATGATTGGATTGGTAGTGTGCTTGCTTGAATTAATAGTGAAGGACTTTAGTTTGAAGAATTGTGAATGTAATTAATATTAAAGGCTGCTACACCTGTAGGCACACTTATCCTATTTATGTGTTGTTTTATTTATTAAATAATTTATATTCGTTTGAGCTGGCGACACGTAGCATTATGCCATTGCAATGAGACAATCTTCTTCTATACAACAACGAATGGAATGTAATGAATTACAGATCATCGGGTGGCCTTCAACTGAGTTAGTTAACAATGAACCTAGTTTTACTGTACGCTCTGGTATTTACTTTTGGTATTGCACTGATTCAGACCTGTATGTTGACATCTGGTTGATGTTTTTTCTTGTTTTCTTGGATTTTAGAATTGCAAGCTATATCTTTAAAATCAATACACATCACATATTCATACTCGTATACAGCATAATAATAAACATTGCCATTATATCTTAATACTCAGAGGATATTTAAAAGTCCTCAATATGTAAAGGGTCTCGCCGTTTTGTTATAATTGGTATTTTCATGAATGTTCAGGGTGTCAGTTATTCACAAAAAGACACTTAGCTTGCAATAATTTTTTTCACCTTTAACAGGCCTGAAAAGAAATTAACAGGCGTCAAACTTATACTGCCAAGAGAAATGGCAACAAACAATATTAAATGATTGGAAAGTAACACTAACTAATACAATGGTCTCATAGTTATTTGAATTACTGTGACCTCAAACTAGTGACAGAAGTTATGTAAAAATAAGAAGACAATATTATCAAACGTAATCGTATGCTCAAGAAGGATGGTCAAAAGAGGAACAACCCGAAAAATTAAACAGAGGTCCAAAAGAGTACAACTAGAACTAATTACTGAACATTTAAACTCCATCGATTATCGGAGACTCAGTGCCGTGTCCTCTTGTAACACCATTTGTCATACTTTTTTATGCTTCCCGAGAGAAAAAATTCGGAGTACACGTATTTAGAAATAATTTTGTCTGTCCGTCCTTCTGTGTGTCCAAAACAAATGCTTTCCTTACTATTACTTGGGTATCCCTTGCTTTATGGTTATAAACGTACAAGACATGGAAGAGGCCTATTGATTTTGGGGTAAATAGCTCAGAGGTCAAGTTCACTTTTACTGAAATTAGAAAAAAAAAATGGTTTCTGAATGGTAACTTTGGTTTCCCTTGCTTGATTCAATGCCACTTTTACAGGTCGAAGATAAAGGAAGGGGAAAAGCCTAGCATTAAAGGGTCAAAGGTTACTAAAATAGAAAAACATGTTTTGGATATTAGCTTGAGTCTCTGTTGCGTTGTTAGAATGAGACTTATACAAGTGGAAGATATAAGTAAAGGAATGAAGACTTTGACTATAGCGTCAATATGTCAAGGGCAAGGTCAGCTTTTCGTAAAATAAAATTCTTCTTAAACGTTTGTTTTGGTATGTGTTTTCACTTTAAATTGTAACATATTTTTACAGGTGTAAAATAAACATGCTTTATTGTTCTTCAAAACATACTACCTTTTTAAACCCTTGTAATAAAAATGTTTTCTATCAATAAATGTGCAGTTCTGGTACATCAGTTGGCAATGCCAAGTTTTACTTGTATTGAATTTGATATGAACATATCCGTGATAAGGCTTCAGGTGGGACGTCACTTGTAAAACATGAGGATATAAGCCAAATTAGGAACCATATGAACATGTCCTTGATAAGGCTTCAAACCATTTATGAGAGTGGGACGTCACTTGTAAAACCTTAAGATATAAGCCAAATTAGGAACCATAGGTACATTGAATGTATATCATGATCGAATCTGCTATATTTGTAGTTTGAATTCAAATAATTAGATATTCAAGATAATAAATAGACAAAAACATATTGTTTTAATTTTTACAGCGCTGGGTCGATACCTCTGCTGGTGGACTATCAGTCGCCGATGGTATCATCAGCTCAGTAGTCAGTGCTTCGGTACTGATATGATTTATAACAAACCTTTCACAAATTTTTAAATTATAAAAAAACTAAGGTTTCAACTCCCTAGGGCAAAGTTGACCTTAGATGGATTTGATTATTTTTTTATGTCCTTTTTGGTCATATAGCTCTGTAAATGTTTTGGTTCTTATACATCTTTGGCTTTCAAATATTCGGATTTGAGCGTTCCTGATGAAGGTTAATCCAGAAAAGCGTTCTAACGCATGCAATTTCTAACGTGTTGTTTTCATTTTTTATAAACAATAGAAATAAGAAAACATTAAAACCAAATATTAGAAAACACAACAGAAAACTATAGAAAAATCTGCACCGACTCAAAACAAAACAAGAGCAATCCCCGATCAATCAATAAAAACAAAACCTGTATACTAAGGTACTCTGAATGATTTCACCAGTGTCAAAGGTCGTTCGATTAGCTACGTCTCATTCGATGGAAGTCATAAACTAGGGATGAAGGACGACATTCGTTAAATTAACGAGACGAGGACACGAGGACGAGTTTTTGGCCAAGCCAAGTAGAACACACTTATGGCCCTCTGTGGCGAATTCATTCAACAGTCAAGCAAACCCTGACGGCGTACGTACCCTCTAAAAAATGACTCAAACGCTATGAACAAGAACCCTAAGTCAAAAAGCCTTCCTGCAAGGAGTACAATAGGACACGCAAGCGCTTCAATATGGAAAATCTTTTAAAAATATTCTTGTGTTTAATTACAAATCTTTTTTAACGAACAACACTTAAGTCAACATTGTTTTAACTTAAGAAAACATTTAATGTCACAAAAAACATTTTTGATTATCTCTATTTTGTAAAATCCTAATTATTCTTTTGCAATATCCTTTGTTTTCTTTGGGTTAATCTATACGATTTTTGTTTTCATTCATATGAGTAAGTTAGGCCAATCGAAAATATATAGGGCAAAAAGACCCAAACTAATAATTTAAGTTTCACTTATAAATGTAAACTGGACAGTTGTTATCAATGTAGCTACATTTAGGCAACAGTAGTTTATCGATGTTCAAATCTCAAAAGTCGATTATGAAGACAAATCAAGGTCACAAACAAAAGCTCGCATGAACTCTAAAAAACGCGAGATCTGGTGTGTCGAATGTGAAAGTGTCTCCTGCTATGCATGCACATCCCGCCATTCGAATACAAACCCTACAATCGGTAAAATTACAGATTAAACCACTATTCTGGTATCTTAAGATATAAGTCTGCGAAACCATGTTGCTAGTGACACAGACATATTGTATCGGGCAACCAATGTATGATGGTTGGTGTAAAACTCAGTGGTTCTCCATTATAACTCTATTGGACCAGTTTTTGTGTGAGGAGCGTTTTTGTGTAAGGGGCACACACCTGCTAATGAAGTCAGTATAGCGTGAACCTGCAGGAGCGTAACGTATTAATTGAGATTTGAAACGCAATACGATAGGACAGAGGATATATTACTGCTGAGAACTGGACAGTTGATGACTTGAAATTTAAAGTTGAAATCATCATGTTTGTAATAGATTCTAGTTTGAAGTCTTTCATCTGTGTCACTTCAGAGAAAAAAAGATCCAGATATGAAGCAGACATTCTAGTTTCGGTTGTATACTTTATCTCAAGATGCAAGCACTCTGAAATGAGGGTTATTGAGTGACATCATCAATATATCTAAAGTGAAATTGAAGAACTTTGCAGGATGTTTTTTGTCGTTCAGAAGGTTTTGAATGAATTATAATTCATGTGAGTACAAAAACAAGTCGTTAAGAATGATTGCACAATTAGTACCCATGGGAATACCGAATGTCTCTTTAAATATCAATCCACCAATTGCAAACTCAACAAATATGTTGTCTTTCAAAATATCAAGATATCATTCTCGATGTAAATAAGATTTCAGTTGTATTGAAATCTGGTCTTAATACATAAGATTTTACATAGAAATAGTTAATATTTAATTATTAACACAGAATAACTCTAGATCGTTTTTTTTTGTACATCACATTACAGATAACGAGCCCTAAATTATGCGTTATTTGAGTAAAAACGTTAGTTTTGCTCCAATATTGCATGATTTATAACAGGTTTTTTTTATGTTTGATGAGTTTTTTTGTGTGTTTTAGCATAGATGGCCTTTGACCGAAATCCTTGATTCAGAAACAAGTAGAATCATGTGCAAAACAGTGTAGGCGAGACCATTGATTGGCGCGCTAAAATATCCCATTGACTGGGTCAGATTAGGTGAACGTTCGTCTGTAACGCCCACAACTCACGACGTATTTATTATAAACATTTAAACTGTGGGGTTGCCAAAGGGTTTCAGTATATATACGAACTACAGTGCACAGTATATTATATACATATTTTATTTGCGATCATAAAATGTACGAAGTCGTCCATTACTATGTAAATTGGGTCGATTAAAAAAAAAGCTGAAAATGTTTCTGTTGCCAAGGGTTTTTCACAAGTATAGTAGTTAGCAGAAAAGTTCACCAAACTATACATTTTACCTTTTCAAAATCGTAAATGCAAATTCCACAAGGCTTGATCCAAATAGCCTTTTTATTGTCTAATAACTTGCAAGTACGAAAAAGACAGGACAGAAGTATATTTTGTCTATATGTTTTGTGTACGCACACTTTTGAAAGTTGATCATGCATTCGTTCTAAAATAAAATTTTGACCAGATAAAAGTTAAAAGATGACATAATTGGACATGCAACCGCAATTGTTAAATCGCCTTGACGTCCGAAAAAAAAGATAATAATCAACACATGCATTGTAACTTTTAAAGCCAGTTAAATCCTTTTTTTTTTTTGTTGAAAGAACGTGCGATGTCATAAAAATTGATTATCAAAACATAACGAAAACACAAGTAAAGAACGTTTACACTGAAATGCAGTCAAGTTTAGCGATTGATAATTCATTGATAACATTCAGGCGTATCACAAACAAACAACTTGTAACGTCTCACTTCATTGGCCGAAAGATTTAAATACAACAACAATTGTTGTGTGCACGTGAATTGACACAGGTGACCGACAATGGAATGTACTACGTTACTACGAACGTAAAAAACAATGATTTTTGGTCGAAATAATTAAATAAGTATTTTGTGAATTTCAAATAGTGGGGTCGAAATATTATACTAATAATTTGTGTT